GATGATGATGATGATGATGATCGATGATGACGATCGTTGATGTATGATCATGCTGATGATGATGATGCTGCTAATGATGATGATGCTGCTGATGATGATGAGATGATGCTGATGCTGATGATGATGCTGATGATGATGTACCCATGATCGATGATACTGATGATGATGATGATGAGCTGCTGATGATGATGATGATATGATGATGATGATGATGATGACGACGATGATGATGATGATGCTGCTGCTGCTGCTGCTGATGATGATGATGATGATGATGATGATGATGATGATGATGATGATGATGATGATGATGATGATGAGGGGGGGGGCAAGAGTTGGAGAAAGATGGACGGGGGGCGCGGTCTCTTCAATGCGAGGACCGGACACCACAGGACGGTATGGGAAAGAGGGGGTCAGCTGAGCACTGGCTTGCGCGCTTGGGTCTTGCCTCCCCGGGGTTCCCCGGAAGCAGCGCACAGGTCACTCTTGCCTGGGGTCGCCCTTGCGCGTGGCCGCGAGAGGCGGCCGCCAGCTGGCGCATCGTCGCCCCGCAGTTCGGCTCCCGCTGCGCCTCGTGCTGCAAGCAGGCCTGGCGGGCCCGTCCCAAATGGGGCGTGCGGCTGAGCGGGGGTCCGAGGCTCTAGGTCTCCTCCTCTTTTTCCCCTTCCCCTTCTTCTCCTTCCCCTTCTCCTCCTCCTCCTCCTCCTTCTCCTCCTCCTCATCGTCCATATGCCTGCTCCTTCCGCCCCCCTTCTCCTCCTCTTCCTCCCCCTCCTCCTCCTCCTCCTACTCCTCATCTTCCTCCTCCTCCTCCTCCTCCTCCTCACAAATGGAGTCGGAGTAGATGGGATCGGAGGATCGCGCCGCATCGCCGATGCGGCTCGATATGCAGCCCGATTTGCTTCCCGTCGACGTCGCCGACTCATCGCTCACGTCGTCGATGCATCGCCAGCGCATCTCCGATGCATCGCCGATGCATCGCCGACGTATCGGCGTTGCGGCGCGATCCTCCGACCACATCTACTCCGACCCCATAGGTCGCCTCAAGAGGTTGGGATCTAGATTTTCAGAGATCCGATGCTCCGAAAGATTTGGGGCGTCCAGTTTTTGGTTATTTTCGTCCTCTGGAGGCCCTCAACGGGCCCAGGGGCCATCAGACAACGACCCTGGGTGAAAAACTGGCCCTACAGGGAGGTTGTCCAGACCTCCGGGGGTCCACGCATCGATCAGATTGGAGCGCCGGATGTCTGGGTCCACGTTCTCCGCCCAGGAAGCCAGGAAGCCAGTCTCCCTGGACCGCGGCGGGCGGTGGTGTGGGAATTTGCGTGCGCCCTGGAGCCGGGACCTGGCCGTGTCCACCCCCCAGGGGCTCCCGGAGGAGGAGGAGGAGGAGGCGGAGGAGGAGGCGGAGGAGGAGGGAGGAGGAGGAGGAGGAGGGAGGAGGAGGAGGAGGAGGAGGAGGAGGAGGAGGAGGAGGAGGAGGAGGAGGCTCCCGGGACGTCGGTCCCCCGCTCTCCCAGAGGCCGAGGCGGCCTGCCAGAGCCCCACCTCCGCCTCGATCCTCGCCACTCGCTCCCCGGTCCTCGAGCTCCGCTCCCCGCTTCTCGATCCTCGAAGCCTCGATCCTCGAGCCCTCGATCCTCGACCCTCGACCCTCGACTCCTCGAGCCTCGAGTGCTCGATCCTGGGGGAGGGCCGGCCGCGAGCGGCAGACGGCACCGCGCCCGCCCTGGGCCCCCGCCCTGGGCCGCCGCCCCGCTGCTGGGGCCCCGAGGCGCAGAGCGGGGGCCTCTCGGCAGCTCGCGCCGCGCCTCGCCGACGCATCGGCGATGCGGCCCGAGGTGGAGCCCGAGCTTCTCCGCGCCGATGTGTCGGCGACGGGGCTCCTCCGATGTGGATCGGCGACGCATCGGCGATGCAGCGGCGAGGCGCCCACCCCATTCGCCCTGCTCGGGCCCCTGCTCCGGCGGCCTCCGGTGGGGGCGGCCGCTGTTTCGTGCTGCTGTCTGTCGTTTGCAGCCACCCTGTGGTGCTGGGTCCTCGGTTCGAAGGGACAGCGCCCCGCTTTCCTTCCTTCCTTCTTTCCTTCCTTCCTTCCATCCTTTCTTCCTTCTTCCTCCCCCCTCCCTCGTCCCGTCCCTGCCTCTGCCCTCCGCATGTCCACGTCGGCACACCCTTCACATGCTTCGTGGCCCCATGGGGAGCTCCACCGAAGGCCCCAGTGGGAAAATTCGCATAGCACCAGCGCCCCATTTCGGCACATCCCTCCCACGTTTCGTGGCCCCATGGAGAGCTCCACCTGAGGCCCCAGTGGGAAAGTTCGCATGGCACCGCCGCCGCCGCCCCATCTCGGCACACCTCTCACACGCTTCGTGGCCCCACAGGGAGCCCCACCCGAGGCTCCCGCGGGAGGGGTGGCACGGCACCGCCCCTCTTCGGCACACCCCTCGCCCGCATGGCGGCACCGCCCAACCTCGGCACACCCTCCAGACGCTTCGTGGCCCCATGGGGAGCTCCACCGAAGGCGAAAATCACAGCGCCGATGCGCAGAACTGCATATGGTCGGGACCTTCGCCAGGATATCTGTTTCCCAGCCATCCTACGGCGTTGGGTCCTGGCTTTGAGGGGACAGCGTCCCTCCTCCCCTCGCGCGGCCGGAGCTCTGTAGTCTGTAGTCGGGAGCCAGCGCGCCCCCCCCCCGTCTTAGGTGCGGCCCACCGCTCGGCGGCGAGCCGCCCCCGACGAGGAAGGGGTGCGCCAGCCGGGGCCTATACCTCGCATGCTCTCCTCCTCTCCCTCCTCCCTCACGTGCTTGGCTCTGCCCTTCGGACCAGTGAGTAATTTCGGCACTCCTCTCACACGTTTCGTGTTCCCACAAGGAGCTCCACCGGACGCCCCAGTGGCTGCGCTCGCATGCGCCCGTCGCACCCTTTGTGGCACGCCCCTCACACGTTTCATGGCCCCACAGGGAGCTCCACCGAAGGCTCCAGTGGCTGCGCTCGCATGCGCCTGCCGCACCCATGGAGCTTAACGGAAGGCCTCAGTGGCCGCGCTCGCATGTGCCCGCCGCGCCAATTTCGGCACACTCCTCGCGCCCTTCGTGGCCCCATAGGGAGCTCTACCGAAGGCCCCGGTGGCTGCGCTCGCATGCGCCCGCCGCAGGCATTTCGGCACATCCCCCAAACGTTCCGCGGCACCATAGGAAGCTCCACCGAAGGCCCCGCATGCGCCCGGCGCACCCATTCCGGCACACCTCTCACATGTTTCGTGGCCCCATAGGGAGCTCCATCGAAGGCCCCAGTGGCTGGGTCCGCGTGCACCCGCCGAACCCATTTGGGCACACCTCTCACACGTTTCGTGGCCCCATATGGAACTCCACCGAAGACCCCAGCGGCTGCGTTCGCATGCGCCCGCCGCCCCCGTGTCGGCACACCCCTCACACGCGTCGTGGCCCCACTGGGAGCTCCACCAATGACAGTGTTCACAAATGACACGTCTGGGTCCTTTGCCAGTTATGTTTTTGTTTTGTTTGTATGTTTGTTTGTTAGTTTGTCGGTTTGTTTTTCTTTTTGTTGTTGTTGTGGTGATTGTGGTTGTGGTTGTGGTTGTGGTTGTGGTTGTGGTTGTGGTTGTGGTTGTGGTTGTGGTTGTGGTTGTGGTTGTTGTTGTGGTTGTTGTTGTTGTTGTTGTTGTTGTTGTTGTTGGTGTTCATGTTGGTGTTGTTGTTGTTGTTGTTGTTGTTGTTGTTGTTGTTGTTGTTGTTGTTGTTTGTTGAACATTATTAATTCTAAAGAATAATTATTGTTGGGCCCCTGGTGCACGGCCCCCCTGCGCCGCCTAGGCCGCAGCTACATTTTCATCATTTTCGTGAGGAAGCCTCAGGTAATTCGATGTGATCAGATCCGGTTGTTTTGTTCCCCCCCGCTTTCCCTTGCAAAAAACACTATAAAATGACATTTCTTGTTCTAATATAATCAAATTTCAAGAATCCCTTGCAAAAAATAAGGTAAAGTGGACATTCGCGCGCGCAAGACGAAATCCTTCCAAAAGCTTAGTGTTCGGAGCGATTTTAACATAAAAACATCAAAAAACCAATGGTTTTTCAACAAAAAAATGTCAAAATCTCATCCCGCGCGCTCTTGCGGATTCGTAGGAAACCCAACACTTTTTAAACATTTCTGTCAAACGGGCTTTTGCGAGCAACTTTTTCGAACTTCTGCGACAACGGTTGCGCACCTGCCAGGGCCATCATCCCTGTCAAATAATACCATGCGGGACAGATTCGTTTTTTCTTCGCGCGCGCACGCCGAAATCTCCAAAAACCATTGGGTTCTTAAGAATTTTACCACCGCGCATCATAAAATCACACGAATCGCACCGTAGGTCCTCGAAAAACAGCTGCACGACTTTTCAAATGTAACAGAGTTGTGTATTCCCATCATCCCAGGAACTTGACCCAAAAATGTGACCAACTCCGCTCTCTCTGTCTCTCTCTCTGTCTGCTCTCTGTCTCTCTCTCTCTCTGTCTCTCTGTATTATGTATTGTATGGCACAATTGCACCATGCTGGGCACATGCGCGCCCCGAATAAGTGACCAAGTTCTGTGGGTGTGTACCCCACGCCAGTGTAGTAGCCACGGTCGTCCGCACGCCACGAAGTGAAGTGTCCCAACGTCATAGGGCGGGAAGCTGGGTTTGGGTGGTCGCGAAGAGTCGTTTGGATATTTGGTAGAGCTTGTAATGCCCCCCCACGAAGTGGGGGTATTGCCTGGTGTCGTATGAAAACCCTGGCACTGGGGAGAACACCACGCGTTCGGGTAAAATGATTGTTGTTGTTGTTGTTGTTGTTGTTGTTGTGCATGGCGAGTTCTTGGTGTTGTTGGCCCTGCCATGGCCTCAGGCGTCTTGCCAAACTTCGCCAGGGTTGCGAAGAAGGCGCACGTGCACCGCCGCCATGCGTGGCCAGGGCCGTCCTGGGCCCTGGCGTGGTGGAGGCGGCCTCTTGGCTGAGGGGGCCACGAGGGTCCTCCTCCTCCTCCTCCTCCGCCTCCGCCTCCGCCTCCGCCACCGCCGCCTCCTCCTCCTCCTCCTCCTCCTCTGCTCGCCATCCTCGGGTCCAGGCGATACGGGGAACGGACAATGACGTAAACAAAAAGCTCGGAGGTCCGCGCGAAAGTTCTCGGATCGGCGCCGGGCCCCGCTGGCGGCGCCTCCAGCGCCGCCCGCGCGCCAGGGAGGGGGGTCCAGCGCGGATCCAACATATCCGCGCGGACCTCCGAGTTTTTATGTTTATGTTATTGTTCGTTTCCCCTAGGTCTGCTCGCCATCCTCGGGCCCAGGCGAGCGACGCGGAAAGACGGGCTCGACTGTGCCGACCTTTGCGCGTAAGCTTCCCGGTCGCGCGTAGGCGCCTTCGTTTCCAACGTAGTGTGCCGCGCTGGCGGTCCGTGTAAGCCGCAGCGTAACGTCGCCGTGCCATTTCGTGCAAAGACTCGCTTTTGGTCGTCGCGCAGGTGTGGCCTGGGCCAGGCGTGGTGGTGGTGACCAGTGGTGGTGGTGTGCAGATGCAACGCAACGCAACGCAGCGCAACGTCCAGCCGAGCAGCTCGGGGAGCGGTTCGTCCCAAAGATGAGGCGGGCACAAATATTATTGCACGTCACATGCATAACAAACGCACCCCTCTCAGACGTTCAGGCACGGCCTCTGCGGAAACGCTTCGTCCCCGCCGTCTTCTCTCCACCCGCAGCTCCCTCGCGGCTTTGGGTCCCTCCACAGGTGCACGCCGGCGAGCCCAGGATAGACGTCGGCACGCGGACGTCGGGGGACGCCAACCTGCGCCCAGCATCCCTTCAGCACCGACCCTGGCCAAGAAAAGATACCTCGCAGGTTCGTGCCGTGCCGGCGCGGCGGCGAGCCCAGCGCGGGCGTGCAAGTGTTGAGCGCCGCCGGTGTCCCAGGCCGGGCCGCTGTCGCACGACCGGCGCTGTCGGCAAGCTGCGATCGCTCCAGGCGGAGCGACGCACGCGGTGGCAGAAGCCAGCGCACGATCTGTCACTCCGCGGCGAGTCCAGGGGGGAATGCGGAGGGGGCGGGCCTTCGCAGAGGGCTCAGACGGCCTCAAGCCTTTGAGAAGGTCTCTAAGCCTTCTCCGATGGTCAGCTTCTGGAATGCTGGGGGGCTTCCGAGAAGCTCCGCCGCCTTCTGAGAAGGCCTGCTTCCCTTTTTTGGGGAAACCCAGCGGTACCGATACCGCTACTCCCTGGACCTCTCCCGGGGTGCGTTCTGGCCAGAATTTCGAGGCGAACCCCCCGGACCTCCTCGGCTCTTCTAACCGAATTTCGAGGCGAATTTCGAGGCGATGCCACTACTCCCTGGGCATCCCTGGCTCTTCTGGCGCCGCCCCTGGCGCGCTCCGCGCGCCAGGGCCGATCCAAGAAACGCACGCGTACCTCCGAGAATATATCTGTTATGTAATTTCTGTTCCTCAACTAGGGCTGTGTGCACATATGTATGTATATATATGTATATAGATATATCTTTATATGTATTGGCATTATGTATGTATGCATGTATGTATGAATGAATGGATGAATTAATGTATGTATGTATGCATCTAGGTATGTAGACACGTGGGTATGTAGGTATGAAGGTATTTATGTATGTAGTTATGCAGGTATGTAAATATGTAGACATATAGGTATGCATGCAGGTACGTATGTATGTATGTCTGGATGCATGTCTGCATGCATGCATGTATTTATGTACGTCATGCCCGCATGTCTGTATGCATGCATGCATGTATGCATGTATGCACTGTACTGTACTGCATTGTATTGTGTTGTATCGTATCGTATCGTGTTGTCTTGTCTTGTCTTGTCTTGTCTTGTCTTGTCTTGTCTTGTCTTGTCTTGTCTTGTCTTGTCTTGTCTTGTCTTGTCTTGTATGGTGTATTATTGTGTGGTATATCTGTGTTCATGTGTTGTACTGCACTTACTGTACTGCATTGCATTGTTTCGTATCGTATTGTGTTGTATCTCTGTATGCATGTCTGCATGCATGCATACGTATGTAGGCATGCATATCTGGCTGTCTGTCTGGCTGTCTGCCTGTCTGTCTTTCTGTCTGTCTGTATGCATGTATGTATGCATGTATGATTTTATACACGTGTATACAGATACATATATATATATATATATATATATTCATGTGTTTCTATATATGTATTGATATTTGATATATGTATAGAATGTATGTACATTGTATATGCTACTCTATTATAGTTAATGTGTGTCTATATATGTACATAAATGTACATGCACACATGCACATACACATATGTATCGTGGCAGCCTACCCTGAATGCCCGCCGCCCCCCTGCCTTTGGCAGTGCGCGCGTGTGGCCAAACGCTGGACCCAGGTCCGGCGAGGTTATTGGATTACGTGCTCCCTCCAGCCGCTGTGGAACCCCTTGGGGGGACGATTGGGCGAGGAAGAGAAATGAGGAGGAGGAGGATGAGGGGGAGGAGGAGGAGGAGGACGATGTGGAGGAGGAGGTGGAGGAGGAGGAGGAGGAAGAGGAGGAGGAGGAGGAGGATCATGAGCAGGAGGAGGAGGAGGAGGAGGAGGAGGGAGGAGGAAGAGGAGGACGATGAGGATGAGGACCCAAGAGTCGTTACTGATGTTGCAATGAACCCTCCCTCCAAGCTCCCTCTTCATAGGCCCCATGTAACGGTTCAGTTCCACTGAGGGAACTGCCTCGTTGGGAGACAACCGTTTGAAGACCCTGAAGCATGCCGAAACCTTGTTCTCAATATTCCAATGCCACGGATCAACCTGACCGTTGCGCCTTGACGATCCTGAATCGTGTCAGATCACCATTCCTGGGACTTCAACACCGCGAATCAACGTACTGTTGCGCCCTCATAATCTTGAATCTTTCCAACACGCCATTTCTTGTACATTGATCATGGGAGCATGTGAACATCCTGCCAAGTTTTGAAACGCATGTGCGCTTCTTCAAAGCGCATGTACGCGGCGCCTAGGCGATTGCCACATTTTGAAATCGACCCTATTTCAATCCGTGAAGCACTCGCAAATATTTGAAAACGAAGGTGCGCGGCGCTAAGACGAGAGCCACATTGTGAAAACCACTTGTTTCAAATCCGTGAAGCTCCTGCAAACATTTCAAAACGAAAGTGCGCGGCTCTAAAGGCAGAGCCACATTGTGAAAACCACCCGCCTGTCATCTGTGAAACTGTTCTCTATTTTTAAGCTTTAGGGCCGTATATGGTGAGGAAGTCTCAGGCGAAACGCCCGGCCCGCTCATAAAATCGGCCTCCGGGTGCGACAGGGGAAAGTTTTCATTTACATGGAAAAGGAATGGAAGAAGAGGAGGCCTCCTGAGGTCCTCTTGGGGCTTCCTGGGTGCTCCTGGGGCTCCCTGGGGGCCTCATTGGCTGCCTCCGACGGTCTTCCTGGGGGCCTCTTGGGGACCTTCTGGCCTCCTGGAGGTTCTGGGGGGCTCTGTGAGGCCTACTGGCGGTCTCGGGGGCCATCCTGGGGCGGAGGTCTCGAAATGTCGGTTCGTGTTTCCTCTCTGGGACACCTCTTGGGGCCGTCTTGGGACGTCTTGGTGGCGTCTTGGGCCTCTTTGGGCCCTCTTGGGCCGTCTGGCCGCCCTCTTGGGAGCCACTTGGGCCACTCTGGGGTGATCTCGGGGGCCTCTTGGGCCGTCGTGGTCGGTCGGAAACTCAAAAGGGCGACAGCGCCCAACTTCTTACAACACCCAAGTCGCATCAACGATTTTGGCCTCTTGGGGCCCTCTTGGGGGGCCTCTTTGGGCCCCCCTGTTCCTGGAGCACTCCTGGGCCTCTGGGGCCCTCTTGGCCCGCATCGGGGCCCTCCTGGCTTCGGCAAGATCGTGCGGGATGGCGCCCTGGCACACCCCAGCCCGCCCCGGCCCCCCCCCCCCTCTCGGGACCCTCCCGGGGGCCGTTCTGCCCCGTTCCGGGGGTCTCTTGGGCCGTCCTGGGCCCCTCCGTGGCCCTGCTGCAGGGCGCGCGCGAGCTCCTCTGGGCCCAGACTTGGGTGGCCCGTGTGGCCCGTGTGGTCTCTGGCATGGCCTACCGCAGGGTCTCCCGCAGTGGTCTCCTGCACGGTCCTCCGAACGGCCTCCCGTGTGGTCTTTCGCGTGGGCTCCCGGCTGGTCTCCAGCATGGTCTTTCGTATTGCGAACGTCTGGCGGCTGGTGCCCCCGATCCTGACGGGGGACGACGACGACGACGATGGCGACGGCGGCGACGACGACGACGGTGACGTGGGTCAGAGTCCTCAGGGATGCTTCTTGTGGTCTCTTCGGAGTGCTCTCGGGGGCCTCTGGGGAGCATTTTTGGGGCCTCTTGGGAGCCACTTGGGGGGCTCTCGGGAGCCTCCCGAGGGCCTCTTGGGGCTTCCTGGGGCCTCTGGGGGGCCCGTGGGCCTCTTGGAGGTCTCTTGGGGCCTTCTTGGGGCCTCCTGGGAACCTCTCGGGGCCGAGGGCTCGCATTGTCCGTTCGAGTCCCCCGTCTGGGCACCCTCTTGGAGCCGTCTTGGGGCCCTCTTGGGCCGTCTGGGAGGCCGTCTTGGGGCCCTCTTGGGTCGTTTGGGGGCCGTTTTGGAGGCCTCTTGGGCCGTCTTGGGGCGATCTTGGCGGCCGCTTGGGCTGTCTTGGAACGTCGGGAAGCCGAAAAGGCGAGAACGCCAACATCTGTAAAAAACTCATTGGAAATCAGCGTTGGCTCTTGCCCTCTCGGGAGTGCTCTTGGAGATTATTGGGGCGTCTTGGAGACCTCGCGATGCGGGACCCTCTTGGACCGTCGCCTCTCGGGACGCGCTGGGCCCGTCTTGGGGCCTTTTCGGGCTGCAAGGCCCCCTTGGGGGGATGGTATTCTGACACCAGA